TGCCTATTTAGCCTCTGGCTGTCAGCTCACCTTGTCACACCGAAGCAGGAGGAGGGAAGAGGAGGGAGGAAGGCGCAGTGCACACCTACATGCCATCCGCTTGCCCTGCCATCACCGATGGCCATCCTTCACCCCAGCGTGTGGCTGGCCCAGAGAGGGCTGTGCTCTAGGAGGCTGGATTTCTCAGAAGGCCATCCGGCAGGCTCTGCAGGGGTGCTGACCACTCCTGGCTGTGCTGGACAGTGAGGTATCGCAGCCCGTTATCTTCAGCAGCAGGTGGAGGCATCTGGGGCTGCTCCTTCCTGCAGAGTGAAGCCAGGTAATATTTACTGGCTGAAATGAACAAGGTAACCGGCCCTGTCACAGCACAGAGGATGTATCTCTCACCCAATATTTTTTTTTTCTCCTTTCTTTCTTCATTATGTTTGTAACTTTGTTTTATTATTTCCCATTGGAAAGCTGTGAAATGAAAATGATGCAATCTACTGCTGTGAACTAATGTCGTGCTCGAGTCCTTTTCCAATAAGCCCCGAGGTTTGCACTGTGACGGCTTCATTAAATTAGCCGGCTCCATGGCAAATGGAAAAGCACTTGGAGCTTTGGATTTTGCTAATCTGAGCTGGGCTGCCTGAGACCTTAGACCACCAGGGAGCTCGGGAGGTTGGCTCTGCATGCTGGGGAGAAGAGGCGTCGTCATCGACCGTGTGCGACATCCTGAGGTGCCATGTGTGCGCAGCTGCTAGACCTCTCATGCGCCATCTCCTCTGTGTGCCAGATGCTGTCCCAGGTGTTGTCACGTGCCAAAGGAACGGCTAGGTCAGGGCACTGTCTCTCTAGGGGCACAGCGGACAGCATGTGAAGTAGGGGAAGGGGAGGCTTAACTCTATTGCAGGTAAACTATGGTGGACCAGGTAAAAGGTGAGCCTGTCCTTGAAGGCTAGCCAGGACTCAGGGTGCCAGATGTCAGTGAATATGCCTGAGATGCTTGTGGATAAAATCCAAGTGCTCCCCATCTACCCTCCCATCACCATCCCCCAGAGTTTATGAGCACAGATTCTCTCGTGCCGGGCTCTACTGCAGTATTAAAGATTTCCATTACTGATAGTTCTTTCCAGTTAGCACTTGCAGTATTAAACTCTGTCATTATGAAGTAAAATATGCATGATCCCTAAATCTATGTGTATTATAACAAGATTTCATTGTTACAAATTAGTCTTCTCGGTCCTTCATTTCTGCCTTTGCTGTCTTTTTAAAACTCTAATGTCTGATCACTATAGCCAGGAGGTAATTAGGATGTGGTACTAAAGAATCACAGGCTTATTCTCTCACTCATTCACAGAAATTTATTGAGTGTCTAAACGAAGATACGGCTAGTGGGAAAGGCAGCGGTGACAGCTAATTACAGCACTAAGGAATTTTGGTCTGAGCTGACATGGACGCCCCCTCCCCCACACACATATATAAATTGGATAAGATACAATAAAACAATTTGAAATCATAGCTGCAGTTGAAAGGAAGAGAGGCGGAAATTCCAGGTTCCAAAAACAAGTGGGAAGTCAAAGCCAGAGTGGTGAGTGAGAGCTGAAGCGGAATTGAGGTCAGATATGTAGAATTGGTACTGGGGTTTTAATAGCCAAGCAGAGGCAGAGATGGAGACCATAGCCTCACGGGTGGCTGGGGCTAGAAATGAGACCCAACATATAGTTGGGTACTTAGAAGGGCTAGACAAGCCCCATCCACCAGCTGGGTGAGTGGTGATGGCATGGGAGCAGGACAACAATTTGGGTAGAGAAAAGATAATCTGTGAAAGATTGAAATACAAGCTTGCACCAAGCATAGATGTGGGGTCCAAATTCGCATCCCTTTCACAGTGTGGAAACCACAATTGGAGAAGTCAGTGTACAAGCTGATTTGAAATCAATGGAACCCAACAGAGGCAAACTTGAACCTTCCCTGAGGCATGCCTCCACAACCAGGGCACTTGGGGTGCCCAAAGGAAATAACTTGTGCTGAAGATGAGCTCACACAGAAAAATTACACGGCACATAAAGAAACAAACTGACAAGAGAGCAAGCCTCAGATTCAATATGGCACCCGGCTTGGCACCTATGCTGACTCCAGAATTACCTAAAAACTTCCATTTCTGGCCATGCACTCAACACCATCATCCTTCCAACTGTAATCTAGACACTAGAGAGTGCCTAAAGCCCCTGCCTCTCTTCTTCCCAGTTCATAATTATATATATGATGTATGTATAAATTCCCTTTCATTTAATTCACATACCACACCATTAAGATATCTAGGAGCCCATATTGTTCACATCTGTTCCCACTAGCCAGATGTGATCTCGGGCGAGGGGGTTTCTGCCACACCTGGCCACCTCCTTACCAGGCAGTGTGGTGAGACTGCTCCAGGATGGTGACTCTCCAAGCCCATTTTGGGGTCTCAGTCTTACGAGCCCTTAATATATGAAGAGTGAAGGTCCTTTGTGTTTTCATAGGCTGATGTCATTGGACAACCTTTCACTTTCACCTACAACACCTACAACCTGACCTACTAAGTGAGCTCTTCCAGGTTACTGAAATGTGGCATTCAAACTCAGTGATCAGAGTTGACTAAGGACTCTAATTTGGCCTCCACCAAAAGACCTGCCCGCCTGGCAGTGCTGGACCACACTCACTCTGCTGGGCAATTGCAGGCTGCAGGCGTCCTAGGCTGGAGCTGGTCACTGTCCTATCAGGGTATCGTCAGCTTTGTCTCACATTGGTGGAGGTTTGGAACTGCTGCTATTCTTGCTTTTAAATCACAAATTACTCTTGCTTTGGCTTCATCACCATCAGCTTTTTGCTGATGGTGCACATCACCATCAGGACAGAGGGTGTCTGGATAACTACACAGTTGTAGGGATTCCTATTCACAACATCAATTTTCAACTTCTATTTTCCACTAAGGTGGCCTTAAGATGCATGCCCTGCAGCTCACATGTGAACTGTTCGTATCTGCATTAGGAGATTACCTTCCACATCCTTCACAGAGTCTTCATTATTATCCCAAGTTCTTTCACTAGTAAGAGGGAGGTCAGTGGGATCACTGAGCATTGGCTCTTCTGCCACATTGAAAGTAGCTGAGATAGAAATGTTTTTCCCCCAGGGCAGAGGCCTCCACTCCTGTTTCCCCATTTCCTTGGGTGTTCGAGAGAGACCTATGGCTGCCTACACTCTGTGACTTTATAGAGGTAGCAAAATGTAAGTAAAGTCACTTCATCTTGGACAAGGAATAGCTTTTCCAGTCACCCATTTAGGAAATGGATGGCACATTCATTGATGTGCCCCGCCCAGTGCTGGGGATAAAGCAAGGCAAAAGACAGCTTTCCTGCCATCAGGAACTCAGGTATATAGACAGAGGGAGACAAAGAAAGAGATGAGGACAGTACAGGCGCCGCTTTCAGTTATTTTAGTGCAGTTTCTGCTTTCCCTACTCAGAGGAAAGGGTGCTGGTGAACCTATCTGTTCTTTCTTTCTTCTCGGCAAGGCTGGTTTAAACCCTGTGGACACATAGCTCAAGAAGCCATCAGAACATCTTCTATCGATGTCTTTATCTATTGTATGGCCTCCTTTCCTACTCACAGTGGGGAATGAAATAGCCCCACACAAGGGCCAAATCATAAGTAAAGAAGGCAATAGGAGCATTGCATAAATAAACAATACAACCACCCGAGGAGATTCTGGCTCTGTTCACACTCAGCCCTTACTTTCCACGTCTGCAGTCGTCCATGGTAATGGATTTTATAATGATGAGCTTAAACAAGGGTCCATCACTGAAGGCTTTCTGGATGAAGGGGAGACAGATACCTGCTTAGGGTGTAATAGTTACTATGGTAGGCGGATTCTAAAATGGTCCCCACCTCCTGGAATCAGCTCTCTTGTGTAATCCTCTCCTCTTGAGATGGACCCCCAGTGACTTGCTTATATTGAATAGAATATGGCCAAAGTGATGGGGGTGACTGGTGAGATTAGGTCATAAAAGACTGTGACCTCTGCTGGCACTAGTGCCATCCCTGCTTGCTTGCTTTGGGGAAGCAGGCTGCTACGTTGGAGATGTCTCTATGGCAAGGATCTGAGGGCAGCTTCTGGCCCACAGCCTTCGAGGACCCAAATCCTGCCAACAACTGCTGAGTGAGCTTGGAACAGACCCTCCCGGTTGAGCCCTGAGATGACTGTAGCCTCTGCCAACACCTTGACTGTCGCCTTCTAAGTCACCCTGAAGCAGGTGACCCAGTGAAGCTGTGCCTGGATTCTTGACCCATAGATAATAAACGTGTGTTGCTTTAAGCTGCTAAATTTGGGGGTAACTTGTTACTCAGTAATAGATAACTAAGACCCTTACTAAACAGCAAGTGGTGAACTGACCTTGGCAGAGAATGTACAGGCACGTTCTGGGAACTTTTAAACAATATGGATTTGTTCTTCTCTTAAACCCTAGTTGATAAGAAAGGACAAACCCAGTACCCAGAGCACACTGGGCATTTATTAGAGGGAGAAACTCCTGCACTGATGGCCACAGACCATAAAGCTTAAGGGCTCCCAGAGCCATCCAGGGCAGGGATTCTAACCAGGGAGGGGCAGCAGAATCAGCTGAGGAGCCTGGACCCCACCCTGGACCTACTGAAGTGGGGTCTCCACAGGTGGAACCTGGAGCCCTGAATAGACACCATTTCCCAGATGACACAGACTGCAACCTGGGGTAAGAACCGCTGATGTGCTCCCGTTCCCACACCTGACATAACAGGAAATGAAGCGGCAGAGAAGTTACGTGTCTTCTTCAGGTCACACAGCCCGCCAGCGGCAGCCCAGGATGTGAGCACAGGTCTACCATCTCCCTGTCCTCTGCTTTGTCCACTCTGCCACAAGACCCCACCACCCCATGCCCCCACTTAGTGGAGAAACAGCCCAGCCCTGAGCTAACGAAAGTAGAAACAAAGTAAGAGATACACAGAGGAAACTCCTAAGGTTCTTTTATTTGTGTTGAAAACAACCTCCACTCTTCATCTCTCCATTTAGTCCTGGCCTAGAGACAAGGAGGGCTTTTCTCTCCGGCCTCTTTTGTCAGAAAGAGAACAACATAAATACTTCCCATTAGAACTCTGTCTCCAGATACCCATCAGGGCAGACTGGGCCAGGACTGGAACTTAACGGCATTGAGAACATGTGGGATCTGTCTCTGAGCCCCACTTGGTTTGCAATCTTTTCCTCCATCCTCCCTGAGACAGCTGCTCCTGTCCTGGGGGGCTCTGCCCCCACCTCCCAGTTCAGGGCATCTGCAGTAGTTGCGGGCTGCTCGCAGCCTGATTTCAGTCTGCTTCTCAACGGGAGAAGCGCCACGCCATGGCCCACGCTGGTTCTGGCGTGGATCCTCAAGAGCTCACCATGTCCCAGTGCTGGCTCATCAGTGAGGACTCACACGGGTTGACAACGACTTCCCTGCCATTCTCAGTGCCATCACCAAACATGTCCGTGTCTAGGCAGAGGTGGGATGCCATGTGCTCGATGCGGGAGCCAGTTTTGGTCCATTGCTGAGAAGACAGAGAGAAGACAGGATGAACCAGGATTCTCTGGCTAAGGCCCCGAGTCCTATCAATAATATCTAGAGTTCCGACATAATTAGAAATGTTTATACCACATGTCTAGGGTCACCCAGAGCCTTGACTTCATGGTCTCAGGAGGAATAAAACTGCAACTAACTGCTCTGCCAGATATGGTTGTTGTTGTTGTTTTTTTTAATAAGATAAAAAAATTAAAAGCAAAATCAATATGTTTGCTAGGAAAACTCATTAGAAGGCAATAACTTTCCAAGCAAAGGGCCATGTGAAGCGAGTTAGTCACAGGAGCAACCAAAGAAATGATCCGCACTTGATATTTGCTCCGTCACAAGGAAGTGGGAGAGAGCTGGGAGATAGCGGGAGCAGGGAGGGCCAAGTGGGAGGGGCAGAGGGGCTCCTGGGCAGCACCCAATGCCATGACTCTCTACTCCTTCAGCACCTGAGGGGCCCAAGCAGAGAGGTGGGTCTCATGCTGCTGCTTCCCAGCCTTCACCTCACATGACAAGGAGGAAGGGGATGGACACGTATTGGGGAACCACCACTGACAAGGTACCATGGGCCACACCTCAGTTAATGGCTCTAGACAGCTATGCTGTGTGGTGGGCATCATCAGCCCCATTTTATGGAGGAAGGAAACTAAAGCTCAGAGAGGTCCAGTAACGTGCCAGGGGTCACACAGCGAGTGAACCACACAATGGGCATTTGAATCTTAGTCAGGAAACTGAGTGAGCCAGCGCCTTGCTGCTAGAGGAACTGGGCACACGGTGCATCCAGAGTGCTATGAACTTGGGTGGATATCCTGCCAGAGCCCAATGCCCCCGAAGGCAAAGGTTTGAGTCTTACTCATGCTTGTGGCCCTGAAGGCTTTGTCCCAGTACTCTCTTGCTCTGGGATCCCAGGTGGGCACCAGTGCAAGACAGGACGACAGTACGAAATGTGCACGCACGCTGAGGTCCGACAAGGTCAGTATGCTTTCAGGTGGCGAGCCGACCACTGCTGCTGGGCCATGCGGGCAGCACTTCCCTCCCTCTCCCAACCATAAGGACCTCTTTCTAAGCGACCCTTCCTCTTCTATAGTTTCTCTCTTTTCCTGCACATGAGACCAGACTTACACAGGCCGTCACGTTATTGAAGGCGGCCACACCCCAGGGCAGACCCACCGAGCACTTACCTGTTTGTCATCTCCATTCTTGCAAAGGACAAGAACCACCGGGGCGCCAGGGAACAAGGTGACGACTGACAGGCACAGCTCCTCCTGAATGATCTGCTGAGTGTACGTGAAGGCCCATATCTGGAGGGGGAAGAGGCCAAGAGGGTCGCACCAGGATCCTTGGAAGCCCCCACTGGGATACTGCTGTGCCTGAGTGTGATAATTAGCACAGCTGGGTAAAAAGCACTGGGGGATCCCAGCAGGAACTGACTGTCAACAAGGTCACCTTGGAGAATGCTACTCATGAGCCAGAGACTAGGAGGTCACACCCCCACTGAAGTCTCTGTCCCCACACCCTGTGAAGGGGACTGGCCTGGGGTGTACAGGCTGCCTCTGGGAGGCACTGAACAATTCTGGGCTTTGGGCAGGAGCCTGAACAACATAACACACAACGCCACACTGCGTGGTGCCCAGTCTCTCTGTTTGGATTGTGTCTGTTCCCCACCCCTGACACTGTAAGCAGCTACCTGGCAGGTCACCCCCAGCTGTCTCTAGATGCCCCTCTTCTTTAAAAGGAGTCCAATTCAGCATCCTGAGAACACGATGGGTATGGCAGGAGGCAGATGGAGGGACAGAGGGAACGAGGAAGTGTTCCGAGGGAGGGAGTGGAAGAAGAGTGGAGAGGGGAAGAAGAAAGTCATGAGAAATAAGTTATTCTGAGAGGGTGCATGCACGCCAGCACTCTGGTCTAACAGGTCATTTGGCCCCTGAGCTTTTGCAGGAAGAGAGGAAATCAGGTGGACAAGCAGAGTCCTGATGCCAAAAGGAAAAGGAGCATTCTGCGAAGTTCGTTATGAGAAAGGTTCCTCACACATTTCCTCCACGGGGCCAGAGACCAGAGAGCAACCAACTGCTCCTGAAGAAGCCCAAACCACTTCCCAATTCTTAAATCAGAGGGGCGAAGGTGCTGGCCTAACAGGTGTCAAATGTGAACCTCCAAGAGGTTGTTCCCACCTTGTGAAATGGGGCTAACCTCTGCCCTTTGCCTTCATCCTGGGTCAAAGCAGAGGACTCGTGAACTGGATGCCCTGAGGGGAGCTGCAGAGAGGACCCTGTTGAGGGCTGCATCTCTCCTTCCCCTACACCCCTGCTGACCCACTGACCCTCAGCCTCTGGCCCAGGCCACTCCTCAGCCACTTCTGCTTGGCCCAAGAAGGAAAAAGTGTGCCTTAGCTGGCCAGCCCTCTTCTCTAGGACCACGCGTCCCATAAGGTAACAGGGTCCGTCTGCCCCTCGTTCTGTATGGCAGCCACCTCCTGGCCCCAGGTCCTCTCCTGACCTCCACTGTCTGCTGACATCGTCAATGTCTTTCTGTGACCCGGCTTGTTCCTCCTCCTCTCCCACAGGCTTGGGTCCTTCTGCTGTCCCCGCCGGACCACCTGGAGGCTGACAACCGCGTCTCCTGATCTGGGACCTTCCCCTTGCCTCACCTGGATGGGGCCACCAGCCCAGAGGGAGCCACTGTCCCCTAGGGTTGGGTCCTGCCCGTGGATTCTTTTGTTCCTTGTCGGATTGCTGGTGTTGGGAAAGGACCTGGACCAGAAAGTCCTCCCTGGGGAGTGCATGGGAATAAAGATGCAAAAAGACTGGCTGTGGGGTGAGAAATCTTGAGGCCCAGGGATAGGTACATGGGGGTACTTAATACTCTGCCATCTATTTCTACATCTATTTTAAAAATTTTGTAATAAAAAGTTATGAAACATACTCCTTGGGACATATCAAGTTCTCCTCTGGCCTTGGGAATGCGACTATTCCACACATGGCATCTGCCTTCCCCCAGCAGAAGCCGGAAGGGGAGAGACAGCTGTGTGCACAGAGGCGATGCAATAACCGTGATGACACTGCTAAAATGGCTGACACTTATGGAGGACTTATGTGCCAGGAGCTGTCCTGGGAGCTTTACATGGAGTAATTTAATCTTCATAAGAATCCTACTAGGTAGCTATTACTATTACCCATTTTACAGACGATGAAAGTAAGGCTCAGAGAGGTTATCCAAAGTCATGTCAGTGGCCCCTACATCGACTCTCTCCAACAGCTCTGCTACTGCTGCTGCCGCCAGTCATGGCTGGTGCTGGAGCCCTTTTACTCAAGTTTAATCACAGGAGATGTCCGTCCCTGAGATCCCTCTTCCAGGCTGTCAATATTAAAGCTATAGATCAGCTGCACTTTGACAGCAGAGAGCTGGCAAGAGATTCTTCTTCTTGGCCAGTTCCCAACGACAACCCCTGTGAAAAAGTCACCCCCCCATGTTGGGGGCGAGGGAGGGGGCAGACCAGAGAGTCGGCCCCTTCCCTAACATCAGTGGGAACTGGGGCACAAGAATGAGTGGAGGCCCACACTCTGCAGACTCCACACCAGACCAGGGGACACATGCAGCACTGGCATCCAGCCTGGGCCTGCCCCCCTTTTCTTCCCACCCCTCTCTCTGTCCTCCACCATGAACTCCCAGCCTGCATATCCATGCGTGGTGACTCCCCTCTAAATGGTCCCCCTTGAGCCCACACCTTCGTCTGCTAGGGACACAATCCACCCTCAGGAGGATGGACCCAGGGGTGAAATCCATGCAGGTCCTGAAATCAGGCTCCACCCATTTGGGTGGAGGGCTCTGGGGTCCTAGACGTCTGGAGTGTGATCTAGAAGGTGGGCGCAGGTCCCGGGTGTGGGCCTCGAGAATTCCTTGCCCTATGGGGAGGGAAGAGAAGGGCCCAGGGCCCAGACTCAGGTTCAAGGGCAGGGCTGCCAGGGAGCCATTTGCACAGGCCCACTGTACAACTGGCCTCACCTTTAGATTCCTGCATTGTCTGGAAACAAGGCTAAACATACAGTCTCTGATGTGGAAAGAAGACGAAGTTCATCCCTCTGCCCCATTACCCGACCACAGAGCTTGCAGTGAACCATGAATTAGCATTTTAAAAATAAACCCTGTAATTATCCTATCATCACCACAATACACTGGCTTTGTATTTTTTATGTTAAAAGCATTAACTGATTAATATAAAAACTTAAAATATACCATAATTTCTGAAAGCCCATTTTGGCATTTCTTCATTTTTAACATCTAGGGGCTTCAAACACTGAAAGTGCTGGGAGGGCTGGGGTGGATGCGGAGTGGTGGTTCTCTTGACATCTGAGACACGCCCTCCGCAAACGCCTTTCGGGAAGGAACGTGTTTCAGGAAGGTACACCGTGGGCTGGGGCTGAGGTCTGAGGAAACCACCTCGAGACCCCCAGGGGAGAATGTGCACGAGCACAGACAGGAATCGAAGCCCTTACACTAAGTGGGCTTTCCGTTAGCTGGTGCTTTACTGGCACGGAAAGAATTCAGCCTCACAATTTCCCAGAGGAATGCAGCTCTCTGGCCACATCTGCAAGAGAGGGGAGGAGGGAAGTAGAGCACAGGAGCAAGTGGGGCAGGAAGCAAGGAGAGGTTTTCCGATTCCCACTCTGCGGCCTGTCAGATTTCCCAGAATGGCCGGTGATGAATGGGTTTATTAAACGAATCCCAGAGTCAGAAATAGATTCAGGAAGGCAGCAGTGGTTGCTCAGACTGGCCTGGCTGCGATGGGTGAGCACTGGGCCGTCTGCTGAGGCTCCATCTGGGGGACTGGCAAAGTCACAGCTCCCACCCCCAGGGCAAACAGACTCAGCTGTACCCATGGAAGGTAATCCAGAGGCCGTCCTGGAGGTGCGGGTGGCCTCGCCTCCTCCGGGACAGGCCAGTAGGGGCTGAGGAGGGGGGCGGTCCACTCTTGGACCTCCAGCCTCTTTGCTTCTGTCTTGGAAGAGGGGAGCTGATGATGGGGAGGAGATCGTCCAGGCTGGACAGCCTTAAGGCCTTCTGTGCTTAGAGGAAGTCTGGGGAGATAGGCATCGTGGGTGGGAGGAGGGAGAGGTCCAGCAGTAGGGGCAGGAGACTTCTCTCTAGTCACTGCCTGTCTGGCCACAGCTGTGAAAGTTGGGACGAATCGGGGCCACAGCAGCCAGCCTGGGGCTTATTGTCTGGCACTGAATAGAGAAGCAGAGAGGAAAGACCTTCTTAAGAGGAGATAACTGAATGAGCAAAGTTCTGAAATAGGAGGCATGAAGATGAGTCGGGGGCCCAGGCACAGGCGTTCATCTTAGAATGGTCCAGGGCCCCTCTAGTAGGCAAGAAGCGATCAGCCCAGGACAGCGGTTCTCACTCGAGGAGATTTTGCCCCTCTCCTCCTAGCCAGGGGACATTTGGCGGTGTCTGGATACATTTTTTTATTATTACGACTAGGTAGGTGGGGCCAGGGATTCTGCTAAACATCCTACAATGCACAGGACAGTCCCCACAACAAAGAATTATCCAGTACTAATGCCAGCAGTGTTGAGGTTGAGAAACCCTCGCCTAGTATTCAGGGCTTGGTCTCTGGAGGCAGCAGGCCTGTGCACCCTGCTGTGGCATTACTCGTGTATGGCCTGGGTGGCATTGGTCAGCTTCTCTAAGCCTCGCTTACTCCATCTGTGAAGTGGGGGTAATAACATGGGGTGTTGTGGAGAGTAAATGAGACGATGCACACGGAGCACTCAGCCCAGTGCCTGGCCCCTGGAGCAGTCTCCATGAACAGTACTGTTATGACACGTGGGAAGGGAAGTGGTTGGGTGAGGATAGAGAAACTCACACGTGGAGAGAGGGTGGGGGCTGTGTTTTCATTAACGCAGAAGCCCACATCATTTACTGATGGTGGCGAGTTTTGTGTTCAAAAATTCTTCTGTGTGGGGAATAAACAAAGGAGAAGGAACATTGAATGCACGGCAGCATTGCTGGTTATGTTGTGGTTAGATGGCTGAAATCACTTATAAGGGACTCCTCAGTTCTAGATGCTTCACATTCATTGTCTATTTAATCCTCATAGTGATTTTGGGAGGTAGGCACAATTTTATGAAGGGGGGCACTGAGGTCACTGGAACTCTGAGCAATGCCAGGAGCTGACCCCAGAGTTGACTGTGAACGTGGGACCTCCTTGGTGAGATGGGATCTGAGCCGAGAGCATCCAGGGCCACTGCTGGCCTCGAACCTCTTAGGCCATGCTGGGCAATACACTTGTCCCTCA